ACTACTACTTCCTACATCGTAGACATGTTTCCCTTTCTTTCCATAGCATTTAGTATTACAGACATATTAATTTAACAGTCACAGAGGATTTCCACACTCCGCACTGCTCACCTTTCCGCTTCCTTTACCACTCTCTACGTCGTGGACCTATTTCGCCCCCCCCTTCGCATAGCATTTTAGTATTAGGTACTAACATCTTTGAATATTTAATATTCAACACCAACATTAAATTGAATAATGTAAAAAGCTGCTTTGTTCTAAATATATACATAGGCCTATATATTTTTAGTTTAAAGGTGAATTTTAATACTGAACATAAACGGTATATAACTGCCGATTAATATTGTAAAGTTCAATTTATTATTCAGAAAGTTGTGAAATTTAATTAACTTAAACAACATTATTCTGATACCTGTGAAATTATAATGATATATATTCATAGACGCCAAACTGTTTACTCCATGAATGAAATAGCTTAAAGTAAAAGTCGCTCTCTCTGTCTTAAGTAGACAACAAAATTGTTGGTCGCAAAATGTAAACAAATAAAAAGAAGAAGAAGGTAGCTCCTAATGTTATTCTTATGGGACAAATTAAAAAATGTTTTTAATGTTTTTATAATTACTACTGAACGGAATCGTCTAGAATTTTAATGAGGTCTTCCCACTGGTGTCATAATTATTTGTGCAAAATTTGAACGCTATAAGTGCAACGGTTCTTGAGTTTTTTGTGCGAACACACGGAGTCACGGACTCACAGACAAGCGGACAACTTTTCTCCGACTCCGCTATACACGATACATAGATTTGTTCACTCATCTATTATCTTTCACTGTTATTTGGAGCTTATGTGTAATAAATTAACTTGGTGTAATAGGCGACTGCAAATGTGAGAGTGAGAGGAATAGGCCTATGAGAAAAAATATGCAACACTTCTATTACCACCATGAATCATTTTAAGTTTTAATAAATATTCTTTGTGAAATGTAAAACTCTACCTAAACTTACCTTAACTTTTACATTCGCAATCGAGCCTTTTCATTTTGCTTAGTTTGGTTTGTTTTCTTCTTCATTCGAGGCATCTAGTTGTATCATTAAACCAAAAACATTTGAATTCTATTAGTTAATGTAACAAACTCCAAAACAATAAATAATACCAGACACACTAATTGCTTAATATTACACAGATTATTGTTGTATGTGTCAATTGTATGGGGAAATAAATGTAATACTTACCGGTACGGTACTGTACATCTACATAACAATAATTAAATAACATTTTAGGTTTAATGAATACCTAGGTTTGCTGCTACAAGGAAACTAATAAAGTGTGTATTTTAGTAAAATATTAATAGCTTAGTATAAAATAAATAAATTTCCCAAGTTTGATCAAAATATATCACCAAAACAAGCAAAATACGACAGTTTACAATATTCTCCATAAGAATAACATGGGAATTTTAAATTTACAATTTTTTGAATTTTCTCCGTTACCAATAACCGTACAAAAACACTTTGATATACTAAATTATTTGTTTTTTTAAACTCTTTAAAAAGGTCTAGAGAGAAATTGGGAAATTTTGTGTTTTGAGGGTCAAAAATGAGAAAACCCATTTTTTTACCCCATAAAACCCCGTTGCCATGGTCCGATCATGCTGGTTCGCGAACTCATTCAAGTTTATCCCGCCTTACACCGTTAAGCCAAATTTCATCAAAATCGGACAAAAATTACTCAAGTTATCGCGTTCACGGACGTATATATATATATAAATAAATATATATATATATAAATATATATAAATATAAATATATATATAAATATATATATAAATATACATATATAAACATTTGAACGAATGGTGTTTTTGGCCTCTGGGGACATCAAAATGAAAAAGTAAATCGGTCCCGGGCCTAAGTCTTACCATGCCACCTACGGTAATAGCTACTTCCCTATAGGGAAATTCGCTAAAAGAAGAAGAAGGTAGCTTCTAATGTTATTCTTATGGGACGAATTTAAAAATGTTTTTTTAGGGTTTTATAATTACTACTGAGCGGAATCGTCTAGAATTTTAATGGGGTCTTCCCACTGGTGTAATAGTTATGTGTGCAAAATTTGAACGCTATAAGTGCAACGGTTCTTGAGATTTGACGCGAACACACGGACTCACAGACAAGCGGACAACTTTTCTCCGACTCCGGACTCCGCTATACACGATACATAGATTCGTTCGCTCATCTATTAAAATAGGCTCAAAAATAAGCATAACAAATGAATTTCCATTTTTTTTAATTGACATGGGCCTTGGGTTGCTATGCTTGTGACGAAGTAATGACAAAATGTTAAACAGTAAATCAAATCGAATGGAAGAAACCCAATTTCTTCACGAGCCGTAGGCGAGTGTGGAAAGTTTCTTGAGTGCAGCAAAGGTAGTATGCACTCGTGTTACACGTTATATTTTTCCTACAGTTACTATAAATCATAAATGCTTAGTCTTTCAAACACTGTACAACACATTTTAGGTTAGGTTAACCAAACATTGAACGAAATGGGAAACGCTGTACCAGCTGATCGTAGTCGTAGTATCTTTAAGTGATGCCAACCTATTTCCAAGCGTACACGGATTACGCGAACAAAAAAGCCGCTGTTTTGTGTTGTTTGGTTGGAATACTAGTTTGCGTTGCGACAAAGTTTTTATAATCAGTGCAAGGAAGCCCACTTTGTCAGGTGACTGTAGGAAAACTAATATCCCTGGCAGAAAGTATAGTATTAACGTTATTACATACCTGCATAATGCATTTTAATGTCTGCTCTGTTTAAAATAAAAATTCCAAAGTACCGTTCATGCTGTGTGTTTATAATATAAACTAAGAAACATTTTCAATAATAATCTTCATGACTATTAATTAAATATATATATAAATTTCATTGAATATAGACAAATTCACTTAGATAACACACATAGAGATAATGTCATCCTCCAAATTGTAAAATAATGCCAATTCTATAAAAAAATCTCTCTGAAAACAACACTTGTTGTATAGTATCCATTTGATTTTAGTCGATTCCTTGGTCTTCATTTGGTTCTAGTACTATTTTAACATAATCTGGCCGCTTTACCCGACTAAAAGCAACATAAAGTTGACCATGGGTAAACAAACACTGGTTTTTTCAAATAAATGCCAACTTTTGTGAAGGTTTGGCCTTATGCTTTATTTATAGTAATAGCGAAAGCTAATCGCAAATGTAATTGAATCCTTGTAAGCTTAAACGGCATTAGGATCTGTAGATATTAGTTTTATAGATTATAAGGTTTGGAAGAAGTTAATTTATGTTTAGGTTTAGGAGCAATTGACGAGATAGGAGATACTAATGTACCACATTATGTACTTTACTAACAATAAAGTTCTTGATTCTCATGACGTCCATGTACCCCTGATATCTTCTGGCTGGGAAGAGTTCTTATTTCAATTGCTCGCTTCGGACATTCGCCTATTGGGTCTGATGATGATTGGAGTGTCCAATCAAAATCGATCACCACTTACCATCTTTTAGCGAATTTCCCTATAGGGAAGTAGCTATTACCGTAGGTGGCACGGTAAGACCTAGACCCGGGACCGATTTACTTTTTCATTTTGATGTCCCCAGAGGCCAAAAACACCATTCGTTCAAATTTTTATATATGTATATATATATAGACTTATATATATATATAAGTCCTTATATATATACTTACTTACTTATATATACGCTTACTTACGCTTACTTACTTATATACGCTAATTACTTATATATATATAAGAACGTATATATATACGTCCGTGAACGCGATAACTTGAGTAATTTTTGTCCGATTTCGATGAAATTTGGTTTAAAGGTGTAAAGCGGGATAAACTTGAATGAGTTTGCGAACCAGCACGATCGGACCATGGGAACGGGGCTTTACGGGGGGTTTTATGGGGTAAAAATTGGTTTTTCACACTTTTGATCCTCAAAACACAAAATTTCCCGATTTCTCTTTAGACCTTTTTAAAGAGCTTAAAAAAACAAATAATTTAGTATTTAAAAGTATTTTTGTTCAATTATTAGTAACGGAGAAAATTAAAAAAATTGTAAATTTAAAATTCCCATGTTATTCTTATGGAGAATATTGTCAAATGTTGTAGTTCGCTTGTTTATGGATATATTTTGATCAAACTTGGCAAATTTATTTATTTTGTACTAAGCTATCAATATTTTACTCAAAAACACACTTTATTAGTTTCCTTGTAACAGCAAACCTAGGTACTCGTTAAATCTAATGTTATTAAAATATATTTAACTGAAAATCAATTCAGACAAATGGAAATTCGCTTAGTCGGCAGGTTTGCTGCGGCGGGGGTATTTTGTATATTTACTGTCTTGTGAGTAACAGTATACGCGTAAATATATGTTTTAAGTGTTATAAGACGTTTCTTTTATTTACTTTCCGTAATAAAAAGTTTCAAGACTTTTCATCCTGTTAAATGTAAAATTGTAAATATACACGATTGATAGTGAGCAGGCCTACAGTAAACCCCCTTTTAACCAAATCCAGGTACTTACTTACTTTCCGTGTCCGGACCAAACCCAGGTTAATTGAAACTATGATAAAACAATGATTAAATTAATTGGAAGAAAAATTTTGTAGAAGACGGGAACTGTTCACTAAGGCACAGGCTTGGTCTGACTTGGCCTACGGAATATAAAGGACCAGACGACAGACCTCAAGCAGTAATTAAAATATTCAGGGAACCAATGTCTATTGTTTTAAGAAATTGATTTTGTGTATGCTGATATATTTAAAAACTACTGCTGTAGATGTCTTTGAACAAATATTGACCAACTCAAAAATAGGTTATCCGAAACTAGAAACGGCTTCGGCTCTTTTATTTAAGTTAATCCTGATTTTACTGTTCTCTTTTAAACATGAGTGGTAAAACAAGGAATACTAAATAAAATCAAACAGTACATTTAAATTACTTTATTAAAGTAGTGATCATACTAATATTATAATAAAGAATATAAACGAACAACAGACAACTTCAAATTTAGGAAATTTCTAAAACCTTTGGGGGTTTAAGCATAGGAAAATAGACAAACGAAACATTGTAAAGTAAAAACAAACAACTCTGAGAAAATTGTACTTGAAATGTCATCAAAATAGCTCGTCTTACAAGTGTGTGCAAAAACTACAGGCATTTGTCAGTTCAATTAAAAACAATGCTTGAATCTTTTCAAAAATTTTTACTTGCATGCCAATAAACTGCAATGAAGCCACACACCAGGAAAATAAATACTGTGAAATCTAATATCTTCACAAAAGAATGAAAGTACCGGTACTCTACTTGACATTTTTCATTTTTTAAATCTTAAAACCTAGTGTCACATTATAAAACAAAACATTTTGGAAAACTTGTGTATCAATTAAAACTAAATGGCTTAGTTAATTTCAGTCAGGAATTTAAAATAATTTTTTTGAGAAACGTTAACATTTTGCAAAATTTTAACTTGCTACACAAAACTAAGCGATACCTATACTACACTATATATGTACACAAAATACAAAAATATTGCTTAACCTAATGAGAGCAGGGTACAACTCTTGAGTTCATGTTTTAACTGATTCCACAAAATTGTTCCAAACACTGTTTCTGCACACTTTCCATTAATGATAAACACGACACTGTGCTTTATAAGGTTCAAAGTTCATAATAAGTAGAGTACTTCTCACCAATGGATGTATTTACAAACCATCTTCACTGTCTCTTTATGATGAAATCAACTGTAACAAAAAATAACTGTTATTGATTTTGTATTTAACAATATTAACAATACATAAAGCCGATAGGTCAAATTTGTTGAAAATTCAGTAAAACCTGTAGGTATTGACAACACTCTATCTATGAGTACCTACATCGTAAGGAACTCAATTTTCAACTACTGCTTCAACCATGGCTTCCTCTAATACAAGACAGTGGCGAGACAAAAGAGGCAACGCAAGCAGCCCCAGCCTACCGAAACATCTGTATACCAATTTATAATCTGTACAATGTTTATGTTTACATGTTTGTTATTACTGTTGTTGCCATGGCAATAGGCTGGCTGATGAGACGTTGCAACCACCAATGCCACGGCTTCGTATTAGAGGTGGTTTATTCAATCCATGAATAAACAAAAAAATTTCCCTCTATTCTTTGGAAAATCCCTTGATATTAAAATACATCATTTTATTAAAAAATATAAAAAATTATATTACAGCTGACGAAATTATCAACAGCTTAAAATGTAAAAATACATGGTGACACAAAAATGATTTTTCAGAAACAGTCAATCTTTTATTACTGTGCAACAGCTGTTTTGACAACATTTTGGTGTAGCCCGCAATGCACTGGGATTTACTCAAGGGAGGTACAGAAGAGGATTCGATGACGTCAGCTGTCAGAAAAAAAGTTGTTGACGTAATCGATTGAGCGATCTGTTGAAGGTGGAATATCGTACTCGTACTAAGTTTATCACTATCGTATCGTTTCGACTTTCGTTAATCGTTATTGTATGGCTGTCGGCTGCCGTTTGTTTATGTTTATGTGCTTTCCTCATCACTCTCCTGCTCCTCCTTCACTTCAACTAAGTTACTAAGTTTAAGTTTACTATTTATTTATAGGCCTACATACAGTTTAAAGTTAAAGGTAAGTAATTATTCCTAATTAACTTTTGAGGTATTAATAATTAGGCTTAAGTTATGGCTATTTTTAATTTGTATTAAGGACCACATGATAGTCCAAACCCAGAAAAACCTAATCTTAACCTGATTTGCTTAGTTAATATAGGCATAGGCTAGTCATTGATTTGTGTTTGTAAAAGTCAGGCCCAGAGTAGGATGACCAGGTTGTTTCAGAATAAAAACAGGACATTCAAACAAATCTCGGCCTCCCCCGTAACTTATAACACACACCTGAGTGTCTAATTAAATTACACAGAGGGTCTCTTATTTGCTAATTTTGTTGAGGTAGAAATCAAGTACGTTTAGGCCCTTTTATCAACCTGTTTTTAAGCTTTTAGACCAGTAAACTTACCTAATCTTATTTTACATTAAAACTTATTTACACATCACACGATTGTCATAGTTGTTTTAAAAATACATTAATGGCATGCAGCTAGGGGCTAGGCAAGGTAAATACTTTTGTGAATCACCACAGGCCAACTGAGAATAAAATAATCCAACAAAATTTTTAAGGGTTTTAGATCTTAGGGTACAGTTTCTTAACTGGGCTATGCTAATATCGATTGAAACTATCAATTCGATTAGCAAACTTTCATGCGATTTTTTTCACCATCAGCAAGTTTGGTTGGTTAAGTTAGGTTATGATAGTTTAATTTTATAATAGATATATTTTTAAAAATTTAAAATATATTTTTAAAAAAATATATATTTTAAAAATATTGATTAAGTTATTAATCAACATTTCCAATTCGATAGTTTCAATTGATATAAGCATAGCCCAGTTAAGAAACTGTACCCAGATCTTATTACAAGATTTGTTACGGGTACAGTTTCTTAACTGGGCTATGCTAATATCGATTGAAACTATCGAATTGGAAATATTGGTTAATAATCGATATTTTAAAATTTATCTATTATAATGTAAAATTAAACTATCATAACCTAACCTAACCAACCAAACTTGCTGACGGTGAAAAAATCGCATGAAGGTTTACTAATCGAATCGATAGTTTCAATCGATATCAGCATAGCCCAGTTAAGAAACTGTACCGTACCCTTTATTACTAATAAAACATAGGTGGTAATAGCCTACCGGTATGTGAAACTAAGTTATTGATTTTAAGTATCATGAGCATCTTAAATTGAATTTTGTTATCGTTAATTTGTATGCTGGGAATAAACTTAGGCCTACAGTTAACTTATAAATTACAGAAATTCATAATAAACTAAAAAAATGTTTTCTGTTTTGTTCTAAGAATAACTTGCTCACTTGCTTAAGAATAACATTAGGTTAAGTTATCCTTTTCGCAGAGGATACGCAACCGGGACTGTGGACGTGGATTATGCGTCCGGCAGTTATGCCTACAGTCATAACCTAACCTAACCAACCAAACTTGCTGATAATGAACAAATCAAATGAAGGTTAAATTCTGTTCATAAAATAAAAATAAATGCCAAAAATTCTAACCAAAGATGTACAGTTAAGAAGAAATGGGATTCTAAGCAAAATCTTTGACAAAAAGTTAGTAACTTCTAGGGCCTATCACCGATGTGATTCGATCTAGATACCTCATGTACATCAGCCATGTACTTTATCTACACACCACGAACACCAATGGCTAAATATCGTATCGTTGTGGAAATGGTGTTCCGGTCCCCCACAACCCGGTGACGTCAATGCCGGGTGCCTAAGTAATCCACATTCAATAACCAGACGCGTATCCTCTAATCTGCGTTTTTTTTTTTTTTTATAAAGCAATAGGCCTTATTTACGTATAAAAGTTATAGCCAAACAAATTGAAAAACAAACCAAAGTGAACTTAACCAATTTCAAATAATAATAGGCCTAAGTTAATACTATCTATAACCCTCTAAGATTTAGCCAATACATAGTGTAGGCTAATTGAGTTAAAACTTTGATATTCAAATTCATCGCCTCATATTACTATTGGTGTTTACAAACAAGTCAATCTATTGATTACCGGTACCTAAGTTATTTTACCTTCAATTAGTTACGGTAATCATATAGCAATAATGGTACATTCATTGAGTAGACCTAGGCCTATTTAATGTAAAACAAAAGTAAGAATGTAATGCATAATACGCTATGGTTGACGCGCCGAGACCCTGAGTCCTTATCTAACCCAACCCAACCACAATGCAATAATATCATTGTTTTAAATTATTCAAAAGTGTTATTATCATTAGTCGTAGAATCAAATCCAATCGACAAATTATAAATATGAACGACTAAGATTGATTAGTAAGAACAAAGTAGGCCTAACTTACTTATAGACTAAATTTTGTGTAGGCTACTTCAATGTGTATCGGCAATCAAACTGTCGATGTGTTCACATTTTGTGTTTTTCATACTAACCGATTAAACTGTCAGCACATGCAGGAGCCCGGAACATTTACATTCCAAGATAATGTGTGTTTTTAATAACTTAGCTGATTTGTTGTCACGTCAATTTATTACACGTTCTTATTAGAATATTTTGAAATAATGCCTTAGGCCTATGCAAATATTTAAATAAAATGAATAATGTTAAACTCTACTCTTTGACAAGCACTCCTGATCATTCAAGACCCCAGCATGATTAATATTGACTACAATCATACCGATAATTAAGTTAATCTATTATATTTGTTTCAGGGCAAAAAGTGCTGCTGTCGCAACCATCAATGATTAGGATTGGAGTGGACGAAGAAACATTTATTTCCATTTTATTTGATTTTAAAAGTTTTTGTAATTTCTTTACATAATTTGGTTTTAACTTGCATAGAATATAATAAATAGTTTTGTCTAAACTTTGAGTTTTTATCCACCAAAAGTTGAAAAATAGATTTATTTTTTAATGTAAAATTTATAGTTGAAATAGATAACTGAACCAGACACTTTGTGTGTCACCAAAGATTGCGGCTTTTCACTGTTTTAGTCAAATAATCGTAATGTCCAATTGTACATAAATCGAATTACAGTTTTATATTTCACTGTTTTTAACACTACCTAAAAGGTTTAGGTTTAAAGGGGTTTATCTTATATCAAATTGATCATCAATTGGACTAAATATACACATCAATGTTTGTGACGTTTGTACATTCATTGAACATTAAATAGTCTCAATTTGTACAAACATGAATGTGCATATGATGTTCACTAGATGTCCAATTGAATCTTAATTTAACCTAAATTGAATAACAATTTGATGTAAAATTGATCATCAATTGATCGAGATACGCACATCATATGTATATCGATGTTTGTGACGTTTGTACAATAATTGAACGTTAAATAGTCGTAATTTGTACAAACATGAATGTGCATACGATGTTCAGTTGAACATTCTTGAACATCAATTTAATGTTCAATTGATGTACATGTGTTATATGGGTAGGAACATATTAAAGTGATGCAAACAAATGTTATGTAAACGGTTAAGGCCATTTACCAAATAAAAATATAGACATATGGAATATCAAAATGAAGCTTAGAGTGTGTAGATTTTCTGAAAAGTTTTGATATGGACAAACTCCCTAAGAGGTCTGCCCCACAGACTGATTTCCAAAGGGCTACGCCTTGCATGTTTTGGAAGTTAACGTTATTTGAGTAATTTAGTGAACAACAGCTGGCCAATGCAATTTACAATATAGTTTGTTGGTTTATGTTCTTAAAAGAGGTGCGGTGAATAGACAGTGAAGCTATCTCTAGCCGTTTGATACAAGTGAGTGGTTAAAGGTGTTCGAAACACGATGAATATGAGATTAACAAACCATGTATGTCGTTCGTTCCAAGAGGTTGTAACCGATTTTTAACAGGTTGCCATTTCATTGACAAGTATTTAAGTAAAGTATTAAAGACGTGAAAGAGAGCGGCGAGTTCAGGTACAACCCTACCCACCTTAGGACGTAAGGTTTGAAGGCTCCAATGATTTTTACCATCCTTTCAGATGACAATTTCTCGAACTTGGGCCCTTTAAATGAAATATAAAGTCAAAGTTGATTACCTAAATTAATTTAATGGTGGCTTCTGTACACCCGTGAATTTGCGGGTAGAACCTCTTATATTGTTAATAGCAGTTTTCTTAGACTTAATAATATATTTTATCTAACAAAGTAATGTACCGGTAATGTCAAATCTGACGTGAGAAGCGAAGAGAGGATGATATGTTGTGTAAGTGCTGTATCTTTTCCTGCAATTTCGTTGATCCTTTTTATTCCAAAAACTACAGTTTGAAACTATTTTATGCCAAATTTATTTTCAAAGTTAAGGTAAGTTTTTTGGATCTATTGTGACTCATACAAATTAGTTGGGGTCTATTATTGTTTTCAATTTAGGATTGTTGTTATCTTGCACTAGGCCTATATCATTATTCTGGTGGAAAGGTTGGTGAGATTTACATCCCTGGGTAAATCTTGACACCATCTTTGACCAAATGAAATTATTTGTACAGGAATATTATAGTAGCCTACCCGTTATAGCTTTCCTATATTCGATTAGGTACGTTAGGTGTAGCCTACCTATACATTATTCAAAATTCTTTATTTGGAGGATACAACTTAATAAAAAAAGCAAGACTTTTCCGCTTTAAATTATCAATAGTGCTGATTTATTGATGGCATTCTTAAAAATTAACTCCAAGACAGAAACTGGCCTAAGTTAATATAAATTGGCTTTGGAACCGTAATGAAAATGAATGCCTTTGAACCAGTCTTTAAAAGCTAAACGAAAAAGGGACCTAAATAAACCATTTTTTGCCAAGTTAACCAATCATTTCAAGCTAAAGATTTCTATTTCAACCGGTATATTTAACATAATTGATAAATGATTGATCTTATTTCATGGAAGCCCCTGAGTCTAAGTTTGGCAATGTTTTTGTAAATAGAGTATAAACGTGGTATAAGTTAATACCTTGGATAAAGAACACTCAAACTGATTAATTTTTTTTTATGTTAATACAGTATGAGTATGTTCCCATAGTGAGGGATTTCGCGGTATATTCCATATACACAACTCGCTGTCAATTTTTTTCAAGTGTCTGTCGTAACATAACCACAAACCAACCAGTCCGATTACCGATTACGATGACGTAAGCGTACGACTACGATGGGCAAATATCGATTGTAGTAGGATCTATCGATTATATCGATAGTTGGCGACTGACGACTCGAGTACTCGACCGAATCAACGATGACGTCATGGCCTGCTGTGCTCTCTAATACAGCGCTGTTCACGGAGGAAATTTGAACTAAATTTGCCTCATTTGTACCTCCCTTCAGTCAGACCCCAATGCACTGGTTCCTGATCGTATATTTATAATAGGTTGGGTGACTGCATCTCGGACAGCAGGGTTCGTCATTAATGGTAAATCTACTGGACGTCCACCAATGGCAGTTACTCCAAAAACATCGAGACCGTTAGAGCGCCAGTACTTCAAAGTCTGCTACGTTCTTTTTATGGATTTTTATTTTTATTTTAAAATTTGTATGGTTTGATTAACATGGCCTACTAGCAACTTTGTGTAATGGGGCATTTTAAAGTGTCCAGAAACACAAGTCAATACAATCAATCTTGCGTTATATTAATTTCAAAACCAACCATCCTTTTTGCGCCACCCTGTATTTAACCATCAAAATTTAAAATGCAACAAACATGCACCAACTACAAGCACCTCGATTAAAAACCAATGCGAAAAACCGACGTGAGTGAAACTCACATTTTTGACTGTAGTTTTGATAAAGTCCTTCTTATGCGCGAGGTCGAAGTCTGGATAATGCGCGTACACATCTTGACACACCTTCTTCATCGTGATCAGCTCCAGGTTCGCTCCTTCGAGCAGGCTCTTGACATACGTCTTGATCTCTTCGTCCTGTTGAACCAACAGTCAGTCCGACGGTCATTTTATAAGGTCCCTAATAGTTGCAGCTTTGTTTCCGAAACTAGTTGGCAAATGGAAGAACAAGAGGCATCGCAATGTGTCCAAGCAGGTTTTAGATGGCTGGACCAGGGTAGGCAGCCATGTGTATTTTCAATGGTGTTAAATTTAACTTACAGAATGCTCCATAAAACCTAATTCTCAATGAGTACTGGAAATTAAAAATTTTAACGAAGTTAACTTTTTTCTTAAAACTAGATCGGTATAGGTTCAAACCTTGAAACACAAAAACTTCAGAAACAAAGCTGCAACGTAAAAAGTATTTTTTTTTACTGCCTACCTTTAAATCATAGGGCCTGGAACTGCTTTACACATTACTTCAGGCTAGTCCTGGAGGGTTGCGGCATTATCACATGGATAAAATCCATTGGTGATTGGAGGGATTTGAACCCACGACCTCGGGAACCGAAGGCCCGTGCTCTACCACTAGATCATCTCAATCGCCCAATATAAAGAGTATTATAGGACTAATAAACACTAACACTACGAAAGTTTGCTTGCTTTTTCTAATAAAATGAAAATGAAACCATGTCGGCCCGTGGTACGAAAGCTATTTTTCACCACACTATACCCTATTACCACTATTCACCACAATAATAAAGCACACTGATATTTAACACGACTACAACTTTAAGATTATGTGAAGAAATAATTTGATGCTTCAGCAAAAATAATAATAAATAGTTGCTAGGCAACCGGTGATAATAAAACAATGTTATTGCAATGTTATGGTTACTGCCTGTGTATTTAATATGCATTAATGTTTTAAGAAAGTAAGCGGGCAGCTGATTTTGCGGCCCTAGGGATGTAAAAACCTGCTCGGTCCCCAAATGACAATGACAGCTGGCATGGCCAGCAAAACGTAACTTTCAGCCACCAATTAACATATGTAAAACAGCTAAAAACATCATAGTGTGGTGAAAATTATTGAATATTTTTCTTTATCTTACTCCAACATTTTTAATTAGGTACTTGCCCATTGAAATTTGTCTTACAAAAATTGTCCTAACTTCCATAGATTCTAATGCATATTATCAAAATTGTTGCTTTGCTGAGTTTACCTATAACATGTAGGCCTATTCATTTCCCAATTCATCACATTCTTTATCCTAATGATCAGCATACTACTACGATACTAAAAACTATTTTACTTTTTGTATATTTTAACATTCCCATTTCGTTATGTGTACCTTTAATTAACAAAGTATAATCTTTTATGTTCAATGCATTTACTTTAACAGTGAAGCTTGGTAATGTAGCGATCAGGACCATTTATTGAAAGCCCAATAGTCAAGGACAGCTGGGTCCATGTTTCGAAACATCAACAAGTTACACTTTCCTCAGCATCGAACCTACGACCTCTTGATTAACTATGCGAGCACTACAAACAATGACCTACCCAGCTATAGACCCAGATTTTTGACCTAGAGATGACTGTTATATAGTTAAGTGCAAGTAGTGTGTAATGATTTACTTATACCTTAAAGTTTATGTTATTTTAACCGTGTAATTTTTGTAAAAAAACAATATTATGAAACGATAAAGATTTTTCTGGATTCTGGTATACAACTGATCTTAATATTTTCAAGATAGTTGAACATACATACATAACTTAGTCATTAGGAAGTATAAAGTAAGTTTTTCGCATTGATCGCAAGAAACACATTAGCGGTATGCACTAACTATAACTACACATTCACTTGACAACAATTATTACGCTGTTGGGGGGAATGTTTTTACGACTAGTCACATTGTGAGAAAAACTATACTGTAGTATGTTCAAATAACGAAGGCAGTCGGGGATGGGACCTACCTTTGGCCAATGAACACAACACTTTTTCATTGGCCGAAGTTAAGCCCATACCAGACTGCTTTTGTTATCTATTTTTTAGGTTAGGAAACGTTTTGGATTTTTTTTTTTAACTATGACTGGTTAATATGTAGGCTTAACAAAAACAATTTGAAACAAAATATATGAGTTTTCCATATTTTTTTACCAGGGTGACTATTATTTGTATGGTTTTAACTTTTAACCATAAAAAATGTAAATCAAACTAAGATAAATATGCTTTCCTTATTACTTTTTATTTTTAAAATAGGTATTATAGAAGGTGGAACACCTATAGTTGGATTGTGGTATTGGAAATTTTTCCAGTCAATGGACATCCTGTAAATGTTGAATGTTGACCTTCAAGTTCTTTCTTTGCTTAGGGGAATAACATTATTTTTTACGATTCATAAAAATCACATTATATTTTAAATTAACATAGGTACAAGGTAAGTTTTGGGAGCTGTAATGTGAATTGATAGATGATTTAGCTTCCAATTATAGTCTAAGACTCATAAGACAACACAAGGGTGGTAAATTTTCAAGAATAATAATGGAACGAAAGCTTTCAAAAACAAGACATCTCATAACATTACAAAATATTGCTACATACGGTAGGTGGAGCCTTTGATTTTTTGGCTAATGGTTCGTCGTCTTCCGAATCATCATCACCGTCTGCCTCCGCCTCGCTGTCTGACTTCTTTTCAGCTGCTTTCTTTGCTGCGGCTCGTTTCTTCGGTGGAGCTTTTTTGTCCGCTGTGTCAAATGCTTTCTTGCCTTTCTTTGCTCCTTTCTTCGGCTTCTCCTCTTCTTCCTAAATTTTTTATGAAAGTGATAAACTGGAAATATGTAACTGTCAAAATTGTGCCACACAAAAATCAAAGAAAAGACTTCAGTAATATCATGAACTAATTTAATCAAGTTAATCGTATTCTAATGAGAACTAATATTATTATTTTTATTTCCCACCTTTCATATCCTAGGATGCTAGGTTCTAGCCCTGAACTGTTCTTACACATCACTTCAGGCTAGTCCTAGAAGGTCGAGGCATTATCAGATATGTATTTTTTTAAATTTAAGAGTTCGGTGGCCTCTTTTAATCTTGAATTTGCCCGTCCACATAGACTAACAGCCGGTTCGTGGAACGTATCCAGCAAAGCAAGGGGTGAGCCGGTACAGTACATTGGTGAACTGTACAGATAAAATGTTTGTGGCAGTGATCAGGATCCGAACTCACATCACTGCCTTGGGCCAGAAATCTGTAATGCTATCGACTGAGCCACCGACTCACTTCCATCCATTGGTGATTGTCAGGATTTGAACCCAGGACCTCAAATTGGAAGCCCCACGCTCTACCACTAGTTCAGTTTAATCACTATTTCCATTCAGAGAAAAATGTATGTATTACCCTAACCTTAAACAAATAAACTTAAACTTTTCATCATTAGACACTTGAAAATATTGAATTGAATCCGGTTAAGAACAAAATGCAAAATGTCAAGTAATAAATGTAATTACCTCTTTTTCCTCATCTGACTCTTCGTCTGTTTCAATCTTTTTCTTCTGGTCTTTTTTCTCTACTAAATCTTTCTCTTTCTCCTCCTCCTCTTCTTCATCATCCTCGTCTTCTTTCTCGGACTCTTCAGACTCATCCTCTTTCTTCTTGGCCTTTGTGCTTTTCTTTCTCGATTTGTGTGATTCCTCACTTAAAGTACATTACAACTTATGTTATTGAACGATAGGGTAGCAAAGTCTGAATTACAGTTTGACTAAGGAGAGAAATTTTGTTATTGAAACAGTTTGTCATGCGAATACTGCAGCTTATGAGAGAGAAAGGATTACTAATACGAATAGGTAAGGAAAAGAGAGAAGTAACATGGTGATTGGAAGAGATGGAGAGTTGGAACAACCTTTAAAAGTAGAGGGGGAACTGCTTCAGTTAGTTAACAAATTTACACATTTAGGCAGGGCGTTATAGAATGATGGGAGGATGGCACAAGAGGTAACAGCTAGACTGGGGAAAGGTGAGGGATTTTATTTTATCAAAGTATTAGTCATCTAGTCTGGGATAAAAATAAACCAGAGGACTGCAAAAGTTACTATGTATAAAACATGGTATATAGTGTGTTACATATGGTGCAGAAGTTTGGAATATGAGGGAATGAAGTAAGGTTTAGGCAAGGGAAATGAAGTTTGCAAGAGGTACAGTGGAACCTCGATAAGAACACCCTCGATAACAAGTCACTCTCGATAACAAGTGTCATTTTGAAATCCCCTTGAATTTATTTGACCCTAAATCACATGTAATTGCAAACCTCAATAAGGAGTCAACCTTGATAACAAGTCTCATTTAATAATCCCCTTGAGAGTCTTGTTATCAAGGTTCTACTATTAAAGAGAAAACAAGATTGGATAGAAATAGGAATGAAGAGTTGAGAAGAAAATAGTTGAAGAAAGTTTGAGAGAAACGAGTAGAGAAATCGAGATAGAGATGGTTCGGCCACTTAAGAATGGAAAATGAGAGAATCCCCCCAAAAAATTAGTGAGCTTCACATGAACTGAAGTGAGAAGACCAATAGGAAGACCTAGAAAAAGGTGGATTGACGAGGTAAGACGATATGTGGAAGCAGTAATGAAAGTCGATGTATGTCGATGTAAGTGGAGGAAGAGGAATTATGGAGGGACAAAAGAAGCAGGAGAGGCCTAGTGAGTACACAATCCCGACGATAACCAGAACGGAAGAGGATATGTAAAACCTAACTTTCGACCACTTTTGAAAACCATTCGGACTTCAGCCACAAGTAAATTTGTGGAGTTTCACTTCATTAGAAGTTAAATATAGCTTAAGCTTTACTGAAATAAACTAACTCACCCTTCTTCGTAGTTCTTATTAGAAGCTCCTTTTCGTTTGGACCTCCCCCCTCCCGGTAACTTCTTTCCAGAATCCACAGGGCAAGTTATGAACTTTAATATTCTTTCAATAAGTTCATCTTTAGATCCACTTCGTTCGATGTCAAGAATGTTACAAACATTCTTCAAATGAACAACAGTTACTCTGGAAATAAACAAAATCATAGATTCAACAATTTCAGATACAGTAGACTCCCTCTTATCCCGACTCCTCGGGACCAAGGCCCGACCGGATCACAGGTTTTCCTGTTAACTGACGTCCCCAAAAACTCCTTACAACGGACCGTTTAAATGCATACTGTATACGTCAATAATGATTATTATGTAGGCTATTTAGACTTGTCATCACTGGTCTCAATTCTTTCCAATGAGAACAATCGTTTCAGTACCGCCCACTTCCTGCCAATCTAGTCCGATCTAGGTTAAACCGATGGGCTGATAACAATTGTTTGGTTAAAGATATGTCATTTCTGCCAAGTGTAGTCCGGTTAAACCGATGTCCGGTTAAAAGGTGTCCGGATGAGAGGGAGTCTACTGTAGTGAACTCGGTTACGATTTGTACTTAAAAATAACATTAAAACAGAGGGGAATTTGATTTAGGGAAAGGAATACACAGAGTTAACCGTCCTTTTTACCATACATGTAAACTATGATTTAGACTATAAGTAGGTCTACTACATTTAAATAAATAATATCAGAAATCTGACACATACTTTCTCCCATTAGACAAAAACTCTTATCATGGGGCGGGAGTAGCTATGATTTTGAAAAGAAAAAATCTCAAAAGTTGCAATAACTTTTATGGCAATAATTAGGGTTGTACCTAACTTGTTCAGAGTTAAAAGCGCTTCACTGTAACATAGCCTACATAGGCCTACTTAATTGTTATAAAAATATGCTAGAACATTTTATGGAAATACAATGTTTCTGTTATTTTTTTAGTTTTATGAGAAAAACAACAAAAGTTGCATTGCAATAACTTGCAGGCCTAAAATTTAATTTTACAGCAATAGGGTTTAACATTTACAACAATTTTTTTAAGAGCTATGAGGACTATTAACATAGTAAATTTAAGTCAAAATCGTCCAGGCCATTATTGGAAAAATTCTACTTTTGTTATTTTATTAGGAAAATTACTTACAATTAGAAATCAAAATTTCAAAACCAATGAAATGAAAAAACCGCCTGGTAATACCATGGATTAATACCCACGTACCAAATTTCATCAAAATCGGACCACAGGTGTGGTCTGTACACATCAACATACACAGATATCATCACTTCAAGAACTACTTTCTTTGGGTTTAGCGGGACCCAAATTGAAAATGTTGACGAAAACAATACTTTCTCCAAATAGCCTACTAGGCTAATTGATAACTTGTTTATTTTACATGTGAAGGTTTAGACCAAAGGTCCACTCCACCACCTTGGCAGTGAGGGGGGGGGGAGTAAATAGAAAACCCAATAGGCCTATGTTATTACTTACTTTTTGAAACTTTTGTCTACAAATTCCTTCTTTTTCTTGAATTCTTCTGAGTCCACATTATACTCAAACCCGTTGAATTTCTTTAGAGTTTTTTTCACTGCTGCTGCTTTTCCTGGTTTGCCAAAACATAATCGGTGAAGAAGTTTCAAATCTTCAGGCTTGGCTCTCTATAAAAAAAAATACATGATTAAAAACATCAATAAAAATGCAATTTGACCCAAGGTGTTTCTGGCAATAAGTGTTTATGTTCCCATGGTATTTTTGTTTATACAGTATTAAAGAAATAATGAACAATAAATCTTTACAAACTGTTTAGGCCTATACAAATTGTCGGTGTACCTACATTTTATAACAGTACTGTATAACTTAACATCAAACTCTGATAACGATTAGTTTTTCTGAGATCTTGTAATTTTAAGAACTGAGAATTTGTCTAAAAATAAAAATAATGTTCCATAGTAGGAGTATTATAGTGTAGGTAGTGTTTGCCCTATAGCCTACCTAAAATTTTAAGTTTTATCCACAAATTCAGTACGGTAGCTAGTTCATAATAGCCTATATATATAAGGCTACAGGAAATAAATCAAATTCCAACTCAAATCAATATCATAGGTTTTACCTGAATGTTAAATTCAATCCTCTCGATTTCTCCAAGAACTTTTCCTTTGCCTTCAGGAATCTTTACCTCCTTACTCTCCTCTTCAGGCTCGATAGGTTTAAACCTTTCTACTACTTTACTTCTCCGTTTACCTGTTATCTCCAGAGGTTGGTCCAACAAGGGTACAGCTGTAAAACAATAGCCTATTTTAAACTCTCAGAGCGTCAGAAACAGTTGGATAGTATATATGTTGGGACTAAACAATTTATTTTTATTTTTTAACCCTTCATTTTGTTTACTAATAAAGTGGAACAATAGAGAATTACAATAAAAGGTTAAGACGGTATAGAAACGTTCAACCATGATTTAAGATGAAAACAACAAATTCTTTCTGTTGAGAATCTTTCTGTCCGAAACATGACTTATAAAAAGATCTTTTATCTAGCAATGATTTCTTACGCTTGTGATTTGTATCATTTTCTTCTCCTGACTCCTCATCCTCCTCTTCTTCATCTTCCTCTTCTTGTTCAGCTGCCTTTTTCTTACTTTCTTTTGTATTGTTCTTTTTAGTATCTTTTTCTTCTTGGTCAGATTTCACTCGCTTTTTTGGGGGCTGTTTGATTTTTGGTGGTTCGGCACCTTTCTTCTTGGCTGCAGCTTTGTTGTTTACTTTGTCTTCTTTTGGGGTTTCCTCCTCCTTTTCTTCATTTTCCTCAGCGGATGAGACAACTTCTTTGGAAATCTCATCGACATTCTAGAAAAAAGGTTGATTTTGAGTTAAAAGTTAGAATAGGCCCAACTAAAATAATCACGTAGGCTACCGTACGGAAGCTTATTAAGTTATGCATTGTTGTTGGCCATTCAATGTGAAACTGAACTGTGCACCTTAATTACGTTATTCCACCGTTAGGCCGAAGGCCTAATCCTCCACATTAATGGAGTGGACAAGGTAATTTTTTTTTTCTTTCCTCACAGCCAGTCAATGAAATAGGGTCGCCACTAATTAAAATTTGGAAAAACCACAGTTTAGGTTAGGTTAGAACATCTATGTTACCCCACAAACGTAATGACCAACGTCACCTGCTTGTCCGACACAAAACAGGCTAATGCCATGGAATTCCAGCTATTACAGGTAGCGGCGTCACAAGATAGATTACGTACGGTTGATAAGATAACGCCTGACAACTGAACCTGACTTTCAAAAAGCACCAATGTTGATAGTTTTCAATTCATTTATGACTCACTCAATACCAAGTCCTACTCAAAAACAATTTAATCATCAGGGAAACTTTTAATAGTGGTGGCCCTCTTCTAAAAAAGACCCAAGGGATAAGATAAGCTTCGGGATTAGACTCTGCCATCCATAGGCCTATTTGTTGAGTATCGGCTATAAAACATATTTTTGTAGTCCTAAGTAAACTTTTTAACACTAATAGGCCTACCAAAATCCCAGTCTGACAGACCCACGGGAATTTTTACAAACGCATGTTGGCAACACTGTTTACTTGTAGGATTCTATTCCCCCAATACCTTCCCCCCTTTTTCTCCCCTACCTGTTGATACATTGTTTGTTCATTTTGCGTGGGTGCCGCGACCTTGACAGGTTGTCTGTTCATAACATGCCCGTCTCAGAAGCCCAGCGTTACAGTAGTGTATTTTAAAGCGGGGTCTCACAGGCCCAGGGTTTTGGTTTGTGTGTTTCAAAGCGGAGTCCATTATTTTAAAATGGGGTCTCACAGATTGAGGGTTTCGGTTAGTGCCAGCCTGAGTAAATTAAGTTAGGGTTTTGGTATTAGTGTTAAAATATAACTTCAGTTAGGCCTAGGCCCAAGTGAAAAAACAAATAAACTAAGTTAGCCTAAACGATGCTGGTCGCTCCCCACAACACCGCTCCAGTGCAGTGAATTATTCAATTCTGCTTATGTGCTCCAAGACTCAGGAGTGATTTGTCTGGGGGTCTGGGTCTGAGTTAGAGCGCATTTATTTAACCTAAGGCAAGCGGAGTAACCTGAGTGATAGGCCTAGCCGGAGCTGGATCTAATGGAGAAGATCTGCCGGAGCTACTAAGGCACACATCTAAACTCTTAAGTGATCAGCCTATTTGGCCTAAGCTACAAATCACAATAAGTCAACAAATAGGCCTAGGTCTATTTAAACTTACTGGAAACAAACGGTTAGGTCTAGCCACATTTTACCCATTATAAATAGTCATAGTCAAACAAAACACCCACTAAGTAAACTTAAGTTTAAGTTAATAAGACTTAACTTAATAAGTCGGTAAAGATGCCATACAGTAAGGTGATGTTAAAGATGTTGGTAGCTTTACGCCTAGGCTATGACTTCGGAGGTAGCGTAAATAAGATTTAAATAAGTGTAAAAACAAGTTCAGGGGACATAACAAATAACTTAAGTTACAAGCAAGGAAATATAAGTAATTAAACATTGTTTAAGTGTATTTAGTAGGTGTAACAATGTTCCCGCCTTTTTGGTCACGGTGATGCTGATGTAGACCTAGCACGGACATTTTTATGAGCAGATCCATTCATAAAAAGACCCGGTGCCAATTTTAAAACTATGCAGTATTTATATCAACGCATATTTCTACAATAATACCTTTTGATCCGCTTCGTCAGACGACATTTTAATCCTCAAAATATCACAAAGGTCTTAATCACTTGTAGTAAAATAACACAAACAACGGTGATGACCGGTCGCTAACGCCAATTACGATACGATACGATATGAAAACTGAAAACCGAACCGAAAACGAAACGAACGATGGATGGCTCGGATGGCATTCATTGGCTCCAGCGTTCAGCCGTTCAGCGTCAGTATCAAATCAAGGCGGCAATGTCAACGTTTTTTTCTTTCCTTTTTCTCACTTTTGGCAGGTTAAACTAAATGTCATGTAGTTTCTTTTATTAGTATTTATTTTGTCAGACTGATATATCTGTATTTAGTACTAGCTGTTTGCCCGTTCTACGTACGGGAATATTGTAGTAAGTTGAAACCTTATATTCAGAACAGGAGTTGGTTTGCATATTAGTGTGCATTTTAGCGAATTTCCCATATAGGGAATAAGCTATTACCGTAGTACTCATGGTAAGACCTGGACCCGAGACCGATCTAATTTTTCATTTTGAGGTCCCTAGACGCCAAAAACACCATCCGTTCAATTTCATATATATATATATATATATATATATATATATATATATATATGTGTGTGTGTGTGTGTGTGTGTGTGTGTGTCCGTTAGCGCGATAACTCAAGCAAAAATGATCCGATTTTGATGAAATTTGATACAAACGTGTAAACCTACGTTTATTCGAACGAGTTCGCAATCCAGCATAATCGGACCATGGGAACGGGGGGTTATGGGGGGTTTTATGGGGTAAAAATGGGTTTTTCCCATTTTTGAACCTAAAAACAAAAAATTTTGCGATTTCTTTCTAAAACATTTTGTAGAGTTTAAAAAAAGAAATAATTTAGTATATTGAAGCGCTGTTGTATGCCTAACGGTCACGGAGAAAATTCAAAAATAGTGTAATTAAAAATTCCCATGTTATTCTTATGGAGAAAATGAAAATTGTTGTAGTTTACTTGTTTATGGGTATAGGCCTATATTTGGCAAATTTATTTATTTCATCCTATACTATTGATGTATGGTCAACACTTTTTACCTTCCCCGTAGCAGCAAACCTAAGCACTTGTTAAATCTAATGTTATTTAAATAGGGAATAATATGTCTTATTTATGGAAATATTTTCGCTTAGTAATAAATTCGGAAATAAATTCGCTTAGTCTGCAGGTTTGCTGCGGTGGGGGTATTTCCAGATATGCTAGCAAAACTATTACTGTATAGGAATACAAAGTAACCTTCGCAAATACAATATCTGACAGTTTCAAAGCCAAAACGAATGCTTCGCAATTAAATGTCACCCGATCGTGTTAGTCCATATTTTATATCTAACGATAAAAGGAATTTCTTTATAGATCTATGAGGCATAGCCCTAAGGTAGGCCTGTAATTGAAAGTTACTTTTCACACCGGCAAAAAGTAGTTAAAATACTACCTCAACCTCACTACTGCACACTTTATTCGGGTAATTTTTTGATGTTTACAATTTATTAATAATTATTGTTCCTCTTCTTTATCTTCTGTCAACACCAGCCGGACTATTGACAAGATTCATTAATTTTCAATGCCGTTATCCTTCACTTCATTTTCGTATCTTTTAACTTCTCACTATAAATATTTCTTGCATTTTCATGGTATATAGCATGTAATTGTTGCCATTTCTCGTATAAAAATCGTTTAAAACATTTAAATGAATAAATGTTTAGGTTATAAATTACGATATCGCAGTTGTCAGTACGGTCAATTACAATAATTATCGTATCCTACCATAAAATATCGTATATATGGTAGACCTGACTGAAGCGAGCAGCTGATGCCATTCCCACAATGCAACATTCTCTTCAATTATAAGCTATGCCCCAAAATCAGGATTATAAGGTATGACTCAAAATCAGGATTATAAGCTATAGAACAGAATCGGAATTATAAGCTGCGCCACTATTTGACCATTATAAGTTGTGGAACTGAAAATGTGTCATACCTTATAACGTTTTAGAGAAATTGTGGCATAGCTTATAATTTTTCGTGAAAGTGTGGCATAGCTTATAACTGATTATAAGCTATGCCACATTTTCAACATTATAAGCTATGGAACAAATTCACGATTATAAGCTATGACATTATAAGCTATGACACCCCACGGAAATTTTCATTAACAAAGGTGCTCTTGTCTTTTCCTCCACGAAACACTGAGAAATAAGGACATCAATGCGTTAACAACATACATACACACACAAATACAGAATTGAATTAGGGGATTTGCTACGCTTTAACCAAAGCAAAATACAAACAAAATAATTATTTGAAAGTTTTGATAGTGTCATCAAATGTTATGATAATCGTTTTTAGGCCTAATCAAACTGTAAAATTTGCGTAAATCCGTTGGCAAATATATAAATAAGTAAATAAATACACATTCCACAAACCATTTATACGTTAACAACGCCAAGCTTTAAAAGTTCATGACGTTTTGCTAAAAAAAATCGTTCACTAATGTTATATCATTTTCATAGCATAAACCAACATTTTGGAGTCCAGACAGAAAACACAAAAATTATACATTAAGACATCAATTAAATTTAATCAGAAATAAGGTGAAGTACTAACGATAACTATAGTTGTAAATAGTGATGTGTTTGTACGTAAAAATAATTCTTACTGCTACCACCGGCTCTAAGGAAAAGTAGCAGTTCATCAGATGGAAGAATGGTGCAACGACAACAAATTAGTACTAAATGAAAACAAAACATCAGTTTTAAATTTTTTCAACACAAAGGCACCTGACCATAGCCCTCTCTTAAAATTAAAAAATCAAAACTTAAAAATAAATGATAACGTAAACTATCTTGGAATCAAAATAAGCAATAACCTTAGATGGAATATCCACATTGATCATATAACCTCAAGACTTGTGGTAGTATGTTGTCTTATGCGCAGACTACAAAACATAGTGGATCATCATATCCTGATGAAAGTTTATTATGGCTGCTTTCATAGCGTATTGAGTTATGGCATCGTACTTTGGGGCAACAGCAGTGAAGCAAACAGAGTCTTTCTACTACAGAAGAGAATTATTAGAATATAATTTGTAAAACCCATTTTTTAGAACATTGCAGACCACTTTTTATTAATCTTAAAGTTCCCACCCTTACCTCCGTTTATATATTGGAATCAGCTATGATGATATGGAAATTTCCGGAAGTCTTCAAACGCAACCACGAAGTACATAATTACAACACCAGGCAACAAAACCATATACACCTGAATTGTCACCGAACATCATTAGTGACAGCTGGACCACATCACACTGCAAGTAAGATATACAATAAATTGCCGGAAGAAATAAGAAGCTGCCAAGACAAAAATTTATTCAAGAAAAACCTCAAAAATTATTTAATAGAAAAGGCCTATTACAAGTTGGAAGAATTTTGGGAGGAGTAAGAGAAGATAGGCCCTACCTGAAAATTAAACAACTTTGACGACCACGGCTGGAAAGCTACTAGTGGGATCAACACAAGTATACAAGTAAGTAAGTAAGTATACAAGTAGCAGTACCAAAAATCAACGTTTACATTGAAGAAAAGAACTATATAGTACTTACGACCAATTCAAACTGTCCTTCTAATCAAACTGTATTATAGGTGTTAATACGTTGGCAAATATATAAATAAATAAATACACAGGTCACAGAACATGTAACATGTAACGTTAACAACGTAAAGCTTTAAAACTCACTATGGTTTGCTCATAAAAAACTTTCACTTGATGTGGTGCAGTACCGAAGTTATTAATCTTCCTTGGTTTTTAAGTTTTCGAAAATCAAAGTTATTTCCCATTAATATCATTATTTGTAAGCAACTTTTATAATGACAGTTTCAAGTAACCACCTTTTCCTACAGTCACCTAACAATGTACATGTTCTCTCACTGATTTGAGAAAGCAAAGTGGCCAATTCGCTATCAGTGAGACAATGTTAACATCGGCTGATCAGCTGTTGTACTGCTGTATTTGTCATTTCACATTAAATGTCATATTAAAAGTTCACTTCTGTGTTAAAATATGTTACGTTTCTTTACTAATTTATTTGTTTTATGGTAACTGTAGGAAAAATATAATGTGCAACTTTAGTGCTAAGTGCAATTGACTCACTCGAGAGAAATCCTTACTCACGAGCCGTAGGCGAGTGAGGAATGGTTTCTCTCGAGTGAGTCAATTGCTCACTTTTCTCACTAGTAGCACAAATATCTATTTTCCAAACAAAGGTTTCTTATTTAAAATATTACGTAATCACTAAACCATAATCGGTACACATATCTACCAGACATTCGGAGGAAATGTGACAAAAAACGCAAAAATCTGGGGTTTTGGACGTTTATAGTTTTACTTCCTAAGTAGGAAAGGTACCGTTATCGTTGTCGAAATGTAAGTAAGTAGAAACCAAAAGTGACACATTGGAAAAGCGAGTTTAGCTACATCTGTAAGTTGAACCTCTGTTACGATCACAGTGAAATCAGAAAGATCTTTCAAGATCACAGCAACATCCACGATCACCCACTGCAGTTGTGATTTTGTTTACTTTACACTTTACACAACTGTCCTTGAAGCGCCGTCAATGAGTGGAAACCTTTTTTGTAAGCTATTGATGACGATGATAAAAAAATGTAAGTTTCCCAGCACTAATACAACACTGATTCACCTTATTTTCCCCGGTTATCAAACTCAAGAACAATCGTTGCACTTGCGATTAATTAAATCGGTTAATTAAGGCACAACGTGTTTAATCTCACTTGGTTTGGATGTGCTAACAAAACTTGATCGGAAATGGTTGCGGTATTTGTAAACAACTTTAAATGTAAACATATCAGTGACAGCTAGAAGGGAGAACTAATCCAAACAGCTGATCGTTATTTCATCGGTGGGGCACACGGGAGGGACTAAGGCTAACATATCTTGTAGTGTCAGCGTTCGCCGCTAGAACCGCTAAGTTGAAATTTTTTTTTTATTTTTAGTTATAAAATTTACTTTTTAATTATAAAATATTGTTTTAAAACTAAAAAATAATTTTTTTTTATAAA